TATATATATATATATATATATATAAATACACATACATGGACAAGTATACACACAACCTTTTACGTTCATATTCCGTTAAAGAGAAATGGCTTTCTCTTCTTATACGTACTGAGTGAGATGAGTACGATTCTCAATCCACGTGGAAGTTTCGTTTATTTCACGCATTCTTTCCATCTGGAATACACTATTAATATGTCTTTCAATTTTTTTATGTAAAATCTTTTTTTCACGCTTGCCAACTCTTCTTTACATAAGATTTCGTATTAGTTTGTTAAAAATTCTTTGATCCAAAAGAAAAAAAATAACGAAATATGATTCCTAACTGAATTTTCTATCAATTATCAAATTGAATCAATTGTTAGGATTTTTGTATAAAATTAATTTAAAAAAAAAATACATTGTGTTACGTTTCGCGTATGAAATAATTTTATTAACGTTTACGTGTTTTAAATTTTGCAAATTACATGCGTATAACGATTAATATTGACGATTAAATAAATCATATTGGAAATTATAATATTTTTCATATATGCGTACTAAAATATAAACGAATTTTATTATAATAAAATCGTAGACCATGAAAACGATGTAAAAAAATATATTCATTCGTGTTTTTCTTTTTTCATTCACACTTGCGAGAGTAACGAAACCACACGAGAAACCACGAACACCCGTTGACAGTGTTGAGATTAATAAAAATCGTTCGACGTTCGATTATGTTTTCTATTCTCGTGATTATTTCTAAATCTTTATAATTAATTTATTTTTTATCGATATTAAAAATTCCAAAACAGTCTGATCTTCTTCTTCCTCTTCTTTTTCTTCCTCGTTCTCTTTCTCATATTCGAAATAATTTATCAAAAAAATTGTGAATAATTTTATAATAATAATAATAATACAACACGTATTAAAAAATGTGTCTTAAATAATGGAAAAAACAATAACAATAAAAAAAAGATTTAAATAAAAATATCGATTATCTCAATTATTTTTCATATATTTTTTTATTAAATTATTATATCAAATATAAAAGGTTTGTAAAAACAATGAAATCTGACAAATAAAACGCGTTAATGTATCATTGATACTATATATCGATTAATTTATAATAATCTCGTAATAACACAAACCTGTGTCGTATAAAATAAATAAATAAATAAACAAAAAGAAAAAGAAATATAATTACTATAAAATATATTGACGAGTATATTACATGAAACAATTTTCAATATATTACGCGGTTAGTTGTTTTTTTTTTTTCTTTTTAAATTTTTGATATCTCACAACGAGTCACTCACCTTATTAGAACAAGAAAGAGTAACAACAAAAAAAAAAAGATGAAGAAGAAGAAAATTTATTGAATTATTGAACGTATAGGCGAGAGTATCTGTTCCGGGATCATTCAATGCTACCATAGATGGAAAACAGAGAACGTGTATTTACTTTGCTGACCCATTATGGGGCAGTTCTTTTCAAGGTAAACATGCTGAACTAACCTGACGCTGTGTTTCTGTAGGTTTCTACCAAAAAAAAAAAGGAAGAAAAAATTAAAAAAGAGAAAAAATAAGAAAAAGAAAAAAGAAAAAAAAATGATTAAAATGAAATGATCGACGTTGTTTCGATCAGATGGAAGATAAGATTAATATACTGATAGTGAATGATGATAATAATGATTATGATTATGGTGATTACCGATTGATATGGCGTATAATATGAGCAACGTTTTTCGGCGAAGATATCAAATTCGCAATTTTCGTATTTCCTTGCTTGTTATGTGTCATTCGATAATGACAAAATAATGTAGATAATATAGGTTGACCTTAACGGAAACCGATAATTAATTTTATTTATATATATATATTTTTGTTTTCTCATTTTGTTTTATTTTCTTGCAAACTTGTTAATCTCGTTTTAAAAAAGAACAAAAAAAAAAGGAGACACTTCTCGTTACATACTTTTATTAATATCAAAATCGTTTATTATAATTATCAAACATTTGAAAAGAAAGAAAACAAACTATAGGTGATAATAAGATTAAAAGAATTTTGAGAAAATTGTCGAAAAAATGCAAATAATTCGAACGATTGTATTAAAAAAAAAAAAAATAATAATAATATTGTATAATATATGAAAATGGTTTAAGGTTTTAAACGAATCATTTATCGGCACGATAATAATACGAAGGTAATGAAAGAAAGTAAACAAGAATTTATCGGGTTAATAGAACTCCACCGAGATAGAAAATTTCATTAGATGATATGCGATAAAATGCTTTTTTTTTTTTTTTTAAACACAGTAGTAATTAGTAGCTATATTAATTACATCGATGTTATATGCGTTTACGTAAACAATAAGGAAACACAAGTGGTATGAGTAAAACAGTGTGTGTGATGTATATTATTATTATTATTATTATATACATATTTCTACGCTTATCAATATGTTTTTCTTTTTAAAGTTATTTTTAATTTTTTTTTTTTTTTTTAATATTTTTCCAATTCTTTGATGTGTCGTATTTATTTCTTACAAAATTTTCTCTAAACAGCAACAATTATAATAATTGCAACGATAACAAATATATATATATATATATTATAATTTATTTTGGTTTACTTAAAAATAAATTATTTGATGTTAAGATATAAAATTGAAATTCAATTCGAAGGTTAAATCCGATATAACACCACGACTAACGGAACATTAATTTTTAATGTACAGTTTAATATATAATCAAATTCTTATTTAATATAGACACACACACACTTTCCCAAAAACGCCTAATTATTTCAGGTAAAATCTAAGATTCCTACGATTAAATGAAATTATACAATGTATAATTCT